TGTGTTTCTGCAGAGAGATGAAAGAGGAGAAAAGATGGCAGATGGTTAATCCACCAGTTGAAATGTTAACTCATGGAGCCAATATTGCATTTAACTGGAAACACATTACTGAGGACAATTGAACAATAATTGAATTTATATCTGCAGTCTCATAGCCCAAAAGGACGCACTGCAGTCTGTTTTCTTGGGCTAACAGCCAAATCTGTTCTGAACTCAGGAGCTGGATTTAATAGAAAGAAAAGGCCTCGCTAAGATTTTTGTATGGAACTTCAGGAAAGCCATGGTTGACAGGGTTTTTTCCCCTTCTTTTTTAAATAATTCCATGACAAGTGCAAAATGTACTTCTTAACTATATTTGAAGTTTAAATTTAAAATTTTAAGTATAGTTAACTTAAAATAAACGAAGAATGATGCTTATATTATTTTTAATTGGCTACGCATTAGTTTCCACTAGATAATTTCAGTAATTGTAAGATGCTAGAATTGTTCTGTATTTTGCAGTACAATTGAAGAAAAATGATTGTTTACTGTTTTGCTGTTCTAAAATCCATTATGCTGATGAAAAGTAAGCTGACATATCTGTATAATATTTGTTGGAGATTTCCTGAGATGGGAATTCACATGACACCTAAAATAATTTAATTTACATGGCATAACTAAAAACAAGAAAATCCCTGCATACAGTCTTATAGACAAAAGCTTAGGGCAGAAAAGGAATAACTGAAAATTCAGGCAGTACAGTAATTGTGAAAGTTAAGTCATATTTATTATACAGTCCATCTGGGTTGAAAACCTGAAGGAGGAGCCAAATGTAGTTGGACTTTCCGCAAAGCTTAAAAGAAGCAGGATAGCGCCCTCTGGTGGAATGATCGTTGTAGGTGACAACTGCTGGAGAAATGAGTGGAAATGCACTCATCGATTGCCAATATTTTTGAACCATTAAGACAACTTATTGTGCATTTTGATGAATGTACACAAGTCTCTTATCTATTATTTATGCTATTCAGACTTTTTTTGTATCTTGACACATTTGAAATCGTTTTCTAGATGGTCAGGGAATAAATGTGCATAACCTTGGCAATAGCAGTATTCTCAAATCTCAATCTAAAATGTTTCTCATTTGTTTTCATTTTCTTAAGATACCAACAATGTACATAGTAAACAATTGTTCTTCTTTTGTACTAGAATAATTGTTCTTCTTTTGTACGTCTACTAATGTTGTGTGGGTTTATCAATTAATTTTCTGAAATAATTTGTAAAAAGCAAATTGTAGCTGGATGGATTTTGGCCCCAACGGTTGCACTGTGGAAGAAAAAGTAAGGACTCAGACTGGCCAATAGTCATATTTGCAATAAAAACTTGTAGTTACACCATTGACTCAGGGGTCATCTTCACATCCTTCTTACTATAGCACAAAGTTGCCCAGCTTTTTTTTAAAAGGATGTGTCTTCATGAACCTTGGTCTTACCCACAGCTGAAGCAGTTTAAAGTTGTCTAACTGTTCCAGTTTTAAATAGGTTTTTTTTCCCTCTTCTGGCAATGTAGTTTCTACTATTGACATATTCTATAATGATTCCTTGATGATGTGGTTCATTTATTTAATTCAATTTAGTCATCACCTGATTCTGAGCAGCTCATAATATATTACTATGAAAATAATATATAATTATCTGACCATAAAAAAAAATCTAATACTTCAGAAACTGCGAACTGCCCAACAACTATTGACTTCAAGCTGATGTGAGAAATCCCTGGAGAGACCACTAATCCTAGGTGAATCACCTCAATGTGACATGATTCTGTTCTCTCTGGGTCATTGACTCTGTTTTCTTTTTCTTTTTTTCTTTTGCTATTTATTTGTTTGCCACCCAGAATTACCTTATAGAGGAGATGGGTGATATAAAAATTTAATAAAAATACATACTCTATGCTGCAGCAATCAAAAATAACTCTCAGTGGCTCACCTAGGAAAAAAAATACAAAATAATGCATTCAAAAAGTAAAGCACAACACTACACTAGAAATAAAAATGAGATAGTAACATTAGGGAAGGCTTTCTGAAAAAGCTTCATCTTTAAAAGTTTGCAGAAAACTAGAAATGACAGTTACTGAGGTGAAAAAGCAGTCTCTTTGCCTCAAGCCCCTACCCCTGTCAAAACTTCTGCAAGTGTTGGGTTTACAGCAGTTTTTCCCTCCTAGATCTAATTGCTTGGAGCAATTAGCAATCAGCAGATGGTTGGGTACTAAGCCATGAAGGATTTTACAGGTCAAAATCAGTAGCTTCAATTGACAATCAATGTACGGTACACAAAACCCAGTTCTTGGGGACGGAGGGAGAAGAGTGACATCAATTTGCCAATACTCTTGAATCATTAAAACAACTCATTGTAGAAGAAGCAAAACCAGGGGAACACACACATTATTTTCCTTAACTTGTCCCATGTTAAATTTGTAAGAGCAGTAGCAGTTGCCAGCCTTTGATAATAAGATAAATAGAATGAGGCGATGGTAACAATTCATAAATTTCTCCTCCTTGGACAATTGGAGGAATCTGTATAAAAGAAGGACTGTGAAGAAAAGCTTTAGGAAACAATCCCTTCTAGGCTGAAGCTTTTGTAAATTGCTTTGATGTACTAACATCCAAGACACCTATAGAAAGTACAATTTTGGACCCAAAATTTCAAGATAAACCACTTTGGGTGAGAAGGCCTTGGTGCAATAAGACCCGACATTTCCATCAACACCATATTCTTCCACCATTTAGGGGGCCAAGACCAAATCATATGAAGAACATGTTGAAAGAAAAATCTTCATCGGCGTCCAGTCCAAGCCAAGAATAAACAAAATGGAGACTGCTTTAGAAAGAAGGTTGTAATTTATTGATGAGCAGAACCACAAGACATGAGGCTCTGGAGCAGCTGACCACATGCTGCTGGGAGTGGTGGTTTTTTATACCTTCTTGGGCTTTTGTATTTAGAGTTGTTCTTCATGTTATTGTGGCATGAACTTTTACCTGAGCTTTTGAGCATGTCCTTTTGGTATTTTGATGGTGGTGGATTAATCCTACAGTGTCCTAAAAATCATTCTTTAGAGTTTGGGTGGGATATGTAGATTTCAGGGGTCTTTGTCTTTGTCATCAGCTTCTAGCTTCCTGGGGGGAATGCTGTCCTCCTACAAACAGTTGCAAGAATTGGATATGTCTAGTCTAGTGAAAAGATGGGGTGACATAATAGCAGTGTTCCAATATTTGATTGGGTGCCACAAAAAAGAGGGGGTCAACCTATTCTCCAAAGCACCTTAAGGCAGAACAAGAAGCAATGGATGGAAACTCATCAAGGAGAGAAGCAACCTAGAAATAAGAACTTTCCTAACAGTGTGAGAACAATTAACCAGTGGAACAACTTCCCTACAGAAGTTGTAGGTGCTGCAACACTGGGGGCTTTTAAGAAGAGACTCGGCAACCACTTGTCTGGGATGGTATAGGGTTTCCTGCTTGACTAGAAAACCTCCAAGGTTCCTTCCAACTCTGATGTTCTATGTACTAGTTATAAAAGGATTTAAGCATCTTTGCTCCTTAACAGATGTTTTTTTAAAGAGAAAAGTAGGAAGGGAGAGATGGAGAAATATAAAGTTACAAATGAAATAAGGGAATATCACATGTATTCATTCCCAAGACTTAATTTTTTTAATAAATGTAATTGTTGATTAAAAGACTTGCCTGGAAATGCAGGTAAGTTTGAAATTTATTTCCATGTTTATTTTTCCAATGTTTTAAAGTTAGAATAACTCTACAACAGTCTTGGGTGACATCTAGTGGAATTAGTTAAACACAACATCTGCTGGTTTAAAGAAAAAAATTCATTTGGAATCATACAAAATTCAAGAGGTGTTTTTCACAGTACAGATAAAAGGGTGAGTCTAGAGGCTTCTCATGCTAGCCTACCTGATGTATAATCAACTAGGAAACTTATATTTCCTTCTAATGCACAGATTTTTTTCCTATTTGTTGAGATATATTCAGTGGATGCATGCTTCTGATATTTGTTTCTGAAAATTTAGCTTTCTTCTCCCAAGATATCAGTATTGCTCTAAATATGAAATTCAATCATCTGTACAGAATTTAAACAATAGTCGTACTGGATAGCATAATTGGTAGGGAAAACATTCAAAAGTCTAATAAATCAAGTCATTTGTTACTCTTAAATACCACTGAAGTTAATAAATAAGCTGGCTATAACTAAAATATATTTATTTTTTTTAATCTTTTTTCTTTAATCAGCTACAAAATTAGCTATTATAAATCACATTATAAATATCTGAAAATGTTTATATACTGTTTATATTACAGCTATAATTTTAGAAGTTATATTTTCATACTTAACATATAGCTGATTCCAATAAATAGGGATAAGTAAAACATTTCAATCCCCAGCTACAAAAGTGCTACTTCAAATGTTATGATTATGAAAATCAGAATCATGAATTTAAACACTATGGGAATTGTGTTAACTCAGCAGCCATATACTGTATATTTATTTTATATTGTTTGAATTGTTACAATTGTTTTGTGTTTTTATGATGTACGCTGTCCAGAGTAATTGGTTGCAATGGGTATGTTACTTGTTTTGGATTGAGGGTTGCATGTAAGTCCTCTGGAATATGGTGGGAACATTTATGTGACTGGAGTAAGACAGCATGTTGATATAGCCAAGAAGGTACCTTGGTTTTTGTTTCCATGCTTATTTTCTTCCAGTCTATGTACTGTCTTCCAATCTTTTTAAACCATTGGTTGAAGCTGGCTGTAGTTAATTTTAATTCCCTTAGAATCATAATTGACCAAAGAGTATGGCTTGGATTGTACAAAATCTCTTGGAGGGATATGCAGAAAATTGAACAGAATTTATTTGCAATTTTATTGGACCAGAAGGAAAAGGACAGAGAGTGAAAAAAAAAATGTAATATTATGTAGGAGAAGAAATAAGTCAATATAATTTAGTCAATATAAATTTTATTGTTTCTTTAAACTATGCATAACAAACTTTTTTAAAGTGTTGAAAATAATTCAGAAAAGATAGCATTTTATTTTTTTGGTGAGGGGGTTGGGGAGGAAGAAAAGAGGTAGGAATGAGTAAAGATGGAAGTGGAAATCTTACCTCAGACAGAAAAGAAACAAGTCTGCTGCTTCCAACATTAAGCAAGCAAACCAGCTAATAAACTACCGAAATTGAAGTCATATACTCAGCACAATTAGCCAATGATTTCAGTGAGAGAATTCAATATGTATTCAAATTCTCAATTAATGAACTTTATGTGACTGAATTAAAACTAATTCCTTTCCATGCTTTTGTAATTTGTGTCCATTATTCTTGAGGTTCAGATTCTCTTGTATCTTCTTCCTTTTCTTCAGCTATGGTTGTGGAGGGGAAAAAAACAGACTAACATTAAAAATAGCAACACTCTTCTTTGTGAACTCTCAGTTTTGTAAGTAGTAGTTCAAACCAAAGAATCTGAAAACAGTTCCTTGAGTGGCTTAAACTAAAACCAAATATAGACAATGTTACAAGACAGGAAAGAAAGAACGGAGCAAAATAGATTTTAAAATGCTAAGAAAATCTTAGAGAAATCAGGAGCATGATGATTAAATACAGATTATGAAGAAAGAGAATGGTGTTCAATTGGATATTGGTAAAGGTTTTTTTTTTAAAAAAGCTTTGTATATCCATTATTAGTAAAGATTCGGTTTTGCAATTTTGTACAATGTTATATTCCAACATGATGATTCAGGAACAGAGAGCCTAACTCTTACATCCACATTCAAAAACAATGCAGTTTTGAATGTCTACCTGAACAGGTTCCTCAAAGGGGTGGGTGGGAAGGAGAAGCAAAAAAACCAAGATGGCAGGCATGTGATCTTGCCCTTGCCCAAACTGAGGATTCTTCACCTTCCTCCTTTTTTTGTAAACAGCAAAAAGCTTCCCAACATGGTGCTTCTTAATTCAAGTACATTGGAGTAGAACTATTTTGCAAAATCACAGCACTTTCTCTAAATAGGTGCCAGACATTCTAAGACAGTGATGGCGAACCTTTTAGAGACCGAGTGCCCAAATTGCAACCCAAAACCCACTTATGCATCGTTGGGTGCCGGGTGGGTGTGGCCCATTGGGTGGGCATGGCTGCGGTGATAACGGCAGACTGGGTGCGACTAAAAAGTTCAATCAATCAATTCCAACTTTGCAAGATCTTTTTTTTCCCCGCAAGAAGTTGAAATTGACTGATTAAACCATTTTCTTTTTTTGCACACGGCGGCGGCGGCCTAAAACGAAAAGGTTTTATAAAACCCAGCTGAAGGCCTAGGACTGGGGCGACGGCGCGCGTGCCCACAGAGAGGGCTCTGAGTGCCGCCTCTGGCACCCGTGCCATAGGTTCGCCACCACTGTTCTAAGACATTAGCATTGTCTTGTGTACTGTTTTTGTATACCATGTCTTTTAATCAAAAAGCAGGAGATAAATTGTGTAAATACTTAATACTCAGCAGAAGTCCTCTCTGAGTAACCAGCTTACTTATTCACTGCATGTTCCCTCTCCCTTTCCCCTCACCCTGATCTCCTTGGTCATCTTTAGCTGCCTCCTCTTCTTCCTCCATATCTTTCGGTGAAGAGGCTGCTTCAGTGGCCTCCCCTGCCTCTGCAGCAGCCTCTGCACTTTCTGAGGGTCCTTCAGCAGCACTCTCCTCACCAGCTGAAATAAAGGTGCGGAGAAGGGAAGGAAAAATTAGAAAAGCAAGTAATCTCTGCCTTACTTAATTTCTGTGCTATGTCTTTTCATTAATAATGTACGACGTGAAATTCTCCTTCCAAACAGATGACAAAAGTCTTTTTTTTTTTCTTTGTAAGACAAATACAGCAAGAGAAATTCCTAACACAGAGGAAGAAAAGCACTGATTAAAACAATGTAAAAGTGTTAAGGAAAAAAAGACAGTCTTGCTTTGTTCTTCTCCCAATGCCATCCCAATTCAGAAAGAGAAGTCCACGCTGAAGGGGGAGATTTTCCAAAGAGGTAATTTCAAAGACAAAACATTCTAAAATTCAGGCATTACCACAAGATCCATATGTGAGTATAAAATAATAATAATAATAATAATAATAATAATAATAATAATAATAATAATAATAATAATAATAATAATAATAATAATAATAATAATAATAATAA